AAAAAAAAAAGAAGAGGAGAGGAAAAGAAAGAAAAAGTGGAATAAGAATATGTAACAAATTTGTACGTATCCAGCAAAACTAAATATTTACTACTTAGCTGAGGAGATAAGGAATGGAACAAGGTGGTATGAGTGTACCATGGAAAGTCTTCAATAAATAGTAGTTCCTATTATTCTTTTTTTTTGTGGGGAGGTACCAGGAATTGAACCCAGGACTTCACATTTGCCAGGCAGGCTCTGCACCACTGAGCTAAATCCCTGACCCCAGAGATTATTCTTGACATTACTATTATTTTCTTTTTTAAAGCCCTATTATCTTTGTTTGTTTCTTTTTGGTTTTTTTGAGACAGGGTCTTGCTATGAAATTCAGACTGGCCTTGAGCTCACTATGTAGCCTAGGCTGGCCTCAAACTCACAGCGATCCTCCTGCCTCAGCTCCCAAGTGTTAGGATTACAGGCCTGTTCCACCACGCCTGGCCACATTACTATTATTTTCTAAATACTTCTTTTCTTCATGTATTTGGAATCTGAAATAAGAATAGCTAAGCTAGAGTAATTTACAGGATGGTGTGAAATAATGAAATGAAGTTAACCAGAATAAAGGAGAAAAACATGTGAGCCAAATATTAATGAGTATTTATTGTTTGTATTACATGTAAGCACAACTGTCATCTCCACCTGGCAAATAATGGACTATTGTGGGCCAGGTACTATTTTGGTTTCAGGTATTCAAGTGAACAAAACATATATGATGGCTGACATTGAGGAGTTTTCAAATAATGAGTTGTGAGAGGAAAAATGATGAAGTTTAACAAGGTTTCTGAAAGAATGAGAAGTCCCAGAAAAGGCCTCATTGGTGTCTGGCCTATCTATCAGTGTGATAAATGTGCACTGTGGGAATAAACACCTAATTTCCACACATTCCACAGTTCGAGCTTCTGTGTGCCAACCTGGTGCTTCTGCATCCTGTTTTGGTACAACCCACAAATCTTCCGGGCTCCACTTCCACACGGGTGGAGAAAGGATTAGACCAGAATTCTTCAACAGTTGTTGCAAGGCATCGGAAAAGCTGGATATGTGTGAGCAGGGAAGGCAGGGAAAATATTTTCAGGATGCATTGAATAACTTTGCCCATCTATGCTATCTAGCTGCCGACTGCTGAAGAGAAGCAATGAAAGAGGAACTGACAATGTCTGAAGTTCAAGTCGAAAGGAAGAGCTTTACTTTTGTAGACTGTACTCAAATCCAAGTATATTAGTTCTTTTAGGCATAAATAAAAAGCCAAATGGCTAGCTTAAAGATGATACTCAAGTTGATTTAAATCACCACTGTAGGTGGCCCTGAATCTTACCCATTTAGGAATTCGGACAGAGCAGTGGTTTTCAACTGAAGATTTTGCTCTCAAGGGGGGCATCTGGCACTGTATGGAGACTGGGAATGGTACTGGTCTTGATTGGGTATTCAGAACAGGAATAGGGATGCTGCTCAGCATTCTACAAAGCATCGGACATCCCCCACACAAAGAATTACCAGTTCCAGATGTTTCAAGGTTGAGAAGTCCCGATTTAGAACTGTTTCCCTTATTATGCAAATATCTGAAGCCACATCTCCAGGGTTTAAAGTTCCTCTTCGAAAATTGTTGCTCCTGCCCACTTCCAATCGTGTGGAGAATGGACTAGACCGGGATTCTCTATCAACGATCTGCAGCTGCACAACACTGCCGACCGATCGTGGCAGGATCTGCCCTGGTCCAAAAAGGCTACTAGGGAGTCAGTAGCAGGAATGGTTTGATCCAGATCCTGGTTGTCACCGTCTACCCCTACTGCAGAGCCAATGGTAGAGGCTTGGTTGTGGTCTGAACCATTTGAGGTAGCTGGAGCAGGGAGAGTGAGGTTGGTGGTGGGTAGATCGAGCTTTTCAAGTTGAGGTATGGGGCCAAAGAACAAAACCAGAGCCCTATTTTACTGGCTTCGCTATGTTTTCCGTTGTAGTGCTGAACGCGGATGGCACTGGGTGGACTTTTGACCCATTCTTGCTTGACCTCGTCCCCCCCCAGCGGCGTGTAGTGGTTCGCTCTCCGCACTTCCCCGTTTGGGGCAGTTGGGCCCGCAGAAGTCGGTTGGGGAGCTGTCAGCGCGGGCGCCAGAGCGAGCCCGTCGGGGCGCGGGGTGGGCGCGGCCGACCCGGTCCCCGACCCGGCCGGCGGCCCCACACCTCGCGCTCCCACACGCGGCCCCCTCAGCTGCCGGGCCGCGAACCAAGCCGCTTGCCTGTCCGTCCGCTGCCCTCATCTTTTCTCCCGCCGGCCGCGGAGACCCCGCTGGGGCTGAGGCTTCTGCGAGGCGGGTGGCCAGGGCCAGCCGCTCTCTTAGCCATGTCCTCGGCCCAGGACGCCAGCAGCAACTTTCCCCTGCACCTCCTGGTCTGGAACAACGACTACCGGCAGCTGGAGAAGGTGCTGCGCGGCCAGGTGAGGTGCGGGCGGAGGGAGTCGCGGAGGTCCTTTCGTGCCCCTGAGCCCATTTTCCGGCCTCTGCTCCGGGGCCCCCGTAAGCCCCTTTGACTGTGCAGTCGCGGGACAGTAATGATAACAGGACGCATGTCGAGTGCTTCCTGTATGTCGGGCCCTGTTGCCAGGGCTTTTTGTAGATCGTCCCTTTAACCTTCCCAGTAGTACAAGGAAGCCGGTACTATTATTCCACTTCACAGGGAAGGAAACTGAGGCTCTCAGATGGTCCCTCGCCTTTGTGGGAGGCCGCCCGCGTAATTAATACTAAGATGGCAATTTTAGTTCAGGCAGGCCAGCTCCAGAATGCACAGTCTTAAACACTGTTAAGCTCCACTACCTCGAAGTCTAAGACCAACACCTGCCCTCGTACTCCACCCGTCGTTGTTGTGCAGAAGGGCTTGGTCGGTTTTAGAATCCGGGTTCTAACTTCCCTGTGACCTTGGGTGAGACGTTTTGGTTCTGGGACCCACATGAACTTATCCGTGGAATGAGGATGTTGGTAGGGATGTGGGTAAACCCAGCACAGTATTGGACTGTATCGACAGATCTGGGTTGGGGCCTAGGAATCCGCATTGAACAAGCTCCCCACGGAGGCTGATACATAGTAAAATTTAAGAATTGCTGCTCCTTCAAAACCTCTTCTTGTCTTTCTAAAGTGTTTTGATTCTTTGTCTTGTATTTATTACCATCTCTTTAAAGCTGTAAAGTGGTTCTCAGTTGGAGGCCTTCCCCCCATGTACCCTTGGCAATGTATGAAGACATTTTTGGTTAAGTGGGGAGTGGGTGCCGCTGGCATCTAGTGGCTAGAGGCCAGGGATCCAGCTTGACTTTCTATGATAGATGAGACAGCCACCCACCACAGAGAACCATTTGGCTCCAAATGTCATAGTGTCTTGGTTGAAAAACCTTGCTTTAAAGGCATCCCAGCAATTCTAGGAAGTATTGGTGCCCTCAAGTTACAAACTAACAGATTTAGCAAACAGGATAAGGATTTGTAGTTATTCTTCATATCTGGTTTAATTATATGGTTAGCTTCATCCATTTTATTCAGTGTGTTAAAGACTACTTTTAAATAGCTCAGAATTGATTCTGTAATTGTCAAGAAATGTCAGAGGAAACAGAGCCTTGGTTCTTTTTGACTGGCAAAAATTGAGGAAGGTCAGCGTCACAGTGTTTGAACAGTTACTGCTAAGTGCGTGCTTGCAGCCTGCCCTATTTAAGTTCGTTATCAACTGGGAGTCAAAAATCTTTGTTTTTTAAATTTCAAAAGAAACTTCTGACAGAACAGCTTTTTAAGTGTCATTCTTCTTAATTAGCTGGTATGTAATTATTTAAGAGTTAAGGAAATATGAGACATGACCAGACAAAATGATTCACCATTAGGTATCCCAGTATACCTGATGACTTAATCCTGTATTGCCACATGGCTCAGAGGCATTCTGTCTACCATTTTACTCTTAGCTGTATTGGTAGGTCTCATGCAGGATGTTTTTTAAATGACTGGTTCTGTTTTGTAGAGTTCTTGTCTTCTATTTGCAGCTATATTTCTCAGCGATGTGGCTGACTAGTTTGTGCAATATTGAGAGAAAATACAAAGTCACAGAGTTAAAATCCCCTTTGATATAAAGTTTCTTTTTTTTGTCTTTTTTGAGACAAGGTCTCGCTGTGGAGTTCAGGCTGGCTTGAGCTCACTTTGTAGCCCAGGCTGGTCTCGAACTTGCAAAGATCCTCTTGCCTCAGCCTCCCGAGTGCTGGGATTATAGGTGTGTGCCACCACTCCCGGCTTGATATAAAGTTTCATCATTAAACTGTATGCTTTCTATCCTAATTTATGAAAACAGTGGGCTTTCTATTCATTGGAGGTAATGAATTTAAATGTTTGATAAGGACAGAGTCTTGGTTTATAATCCAAAGTGTGACATAGTTCTCTTTTTTCTGCAAACTGAGATAAAAGTATCCATTGAAAGCTCTTGGCACTTTTTACCTTGAAAAGTTCAAGGACATTTGTGATTAGAATTTGGGTGTTTAAAAACTTGCAGCAGACTTTTCTGGAATATATTTTAGATCCTTAATGCACTTGACTGTCATGGAGTTTGAAGTTTGAGGAAGTATACCTGCTAAGTTTTTGGCTTGGACTTACTCAGGTACTACTGTGGATTATTTCATAGTACTGTATACCATTTACCTCGGAGGAGGAGACAAGTAGCGTGTACTCACAAAAAACACCTGGGAAAGCTCGACTATTACAACCATTGGAGAGGCCCAGACCTGGCAGTTCTATAGGACTCTGTGTTTAGCTGATGCTCTTCTGTCATCATCTTGAAATTCTTAACTGTTTTTGAATATGGGGCACTTTGCGTTTTCATTTTTTGCTGGGCCCACCCAATTATGTAACTGTTTCAGGGTCATGATGTTAATATTTGATATCATTAAAATATTGAACTACATTAAATATATAGCAGGAAACATTTTGTTGCCTTCATATGTATCTAGGTCCTCAGCAGCATATATCTGTGGCCTGGAGGCTGTGGGGTTTAATGGCCAGCACTGATGCTGATTAAGTTGTGAGCTTGGGGCTGTATTTATCTTTGCTGAATTGTTTCATCACCTGTGAATTGGGGAGAGTGACACTGGATGCTTACTCTTATGGGGTACAGTGCTAATATTTTACATTGCAATCTTTTTTTTTTTTGGTACTGGGAATCCAACTTACGACCTTGCGCTTGCCAGGCAGGCACTTGTGCCACTGAGCTATATCCCCGGCCTGCAATCTTAGATTTAATTCTTACACCTCTTTTCTGGAGGTGGGGTGCTACTGAAATTTCATCTTATGGATGAGGAAACTAGGTGAAGAGAAGCTCTGTTGCATGCTAAATTAGTGCCTGAGCTGTGATTTGAACCCTGAAAGTCAAACTCCATCCAAATCCTGTACTCTTCTTTCTTAGTCTTTTTGTTTTGTTTTGTTTTGCTTTGTTTTGTTTAGACAGAGTCTTTATGTAGTTCAGATGGGCCCCGAACTCACTATGTAGCCCAGGATACCCACTTGTGGCAATTCTTCCTCAGTCACCCAAGTGCTGAGAAAACAGACGTGTGCCATCACATCTGGCCTCAAATTCTGTATTCTTAACCTCTCAGCTGTTATTTTGGTAAAAATGTCTCCATTTCAGGATTGTGAATAATACAGGAAGATAATGAATCTGAATGTGCAGTTGCATAGTAAATGGAGCGATACCATTTAACAGTAGCTCCTGTTGTTTTTATTATGATCAACATTTATAAATCTGGGGATTTAGCATTTTTTATGTATGTTCTAGTTTTTCTATAAGGAACATATATTGGTTGCATAACTAAGAAAAAAAAATGCTGTAACCTCAGCAATAAAACTGGCTGTTTCCCATAATGTTTTGTTTGCCAGTAAGTTTCTGCTGTCTACTTTATTCCTTCCATCACACACGGGAGACTTGAAGCAGGCATGCTAGTAGCTGTAAGAATTTAATTTTGTTCCAGGAATTGCTACAGCACAAGAAGAATTGAATTTATCCAGACAAAGAGGATAAGCACGTTTCATCCCCAACCCCACAGTCTTGCCAATAGCCAGCGTTGGTGTAACTGCCAACTATGAGATTGTTTCAGGCCTCCAACACTTAACCCAGGAGAAGCACTTGATAAAGTGCCTCTTAACCCATCAGCTTTTTAATGTTCAGTGGGGCCTTGAGGTTAGTTGTTGAAGTTAAAACTATTTGTGTTCTGCTTATGTCATTTTGTTGGAGCGGTCTGTTAAAGTCCTTTGGCCTTAGTGATGCTGGGGAAATGAGTGAACGTTTACAGGGACAAATGCAAAGATGGGTCCATGCATCTTAGACAGCTCAGAGAGAACTCTGAGCCCAAGCAGGTAAGCCCTGACTAGGCTAACCTTTTGGAGCTTTCAATGATACAAACAGCCCTCTGTGGCACCCGTGTCATAGGTTCGCCACTACTGCTGTAGGCACACATGCCCTCTTTAAAAGCCAGTAGGTAAAAACCACATCATCCGGGCAAGAGGAGGAGGACATTCTAGGGAGCAGCAATATCTGGGGACTGACAGGGAACCACTTTGGGGTTCTACTGAATGCCGTGGCAGGCCAGTTGAGGCCACTGGGCACACATTCCAGTTGATGCCCATTGGCTGAAAGCCAGTTGTGAGCCATCCAAGATGATGCACCTGGAGGCTGCTCTCAGGGTATTTCCCCTTGGCCATGGGACTTGGGCTTGCCTTGGGAAACTGTCCAACACTGACGTGAGGAAGGGACACAGCCATGGAGGGCCGCAGCAGTCTGAGAGTGAAGAGGAGTAAGGGTGTTACTCTGCTGAGAAAAAGGAGGGGTGTCTTAGCAGCGTCTTGCTGGAGGCCAGCAGAGGTAACAGTGATAGTTTACAGAGCACTTAATGTGTGGTTCCTGAGGCTAGTGGGGAAGCTGGAAATGGGACCTGCACTGTTCGGCTCTGCAGCTTGTCCTCAGAGCTCAGAGCCATTTGCTGTCTGCAGAGGACAGCAGAGTGGTAAAAAGGCTTTTGAGCAAGAAAAATAGACGAGCTTAAGTTAGCAAGCAAGAAAAAAGATGTGCAGAAATCTTACTCCTTGACATCTTTTGACACATTCATAGTTATGGTTAAGGGGAGGGTATTTTTAATTGGATACAGCACATTGCTGAAGAAGCTTAAAGGAAAAACCTAAATGATTGACTTGAAAAGCAAATTGCAGTTCAGTGTGGAAAGCCTTGGGCCCTCTGAACTAATAGTGTTAATTGATGATCCTAAATCCCACTATTAACTGCAATGAAATTTGAACTTTTAGAAAGAGTGACAGCTAATATGAAACTCCATACGTGGGTGTATGCTAATAAGAGCTAACTCTTCTCAGTGCTCACTGTGGCATCAAGCATTGTGCCAAGTTCAGGCCTTACCCTTATAACAGCTAACTG